CCATCCTGAGAAATAGCTATGGAAATAGCTAAGTGACACTAAAATACAAAATGGAATGTGTGCCTGCAGCATGGGCTATTCTTTTGCCGCAGTTCACTTTTAATTTTCATGTATTTCTTTCTATGTCTCTTTTGACTTTTGATTGTCCACATGAAAGCGTAAATGTCAGTATTTATAATTCTTCTAATTTGAATATATATTTATTATCATAAACATGCATAAAGTTATATTTTTGGTAATGTGCTTATCAGTTATTTACTTTCTTTTTTAATTTAATTTTATTTTTTTCTTATCAGTTACATTTTATTAACTCTGTATCCCAGCCGTGTCCCCATCCCTCATTCCCTCCCAATCCCACCCTCCTTCTCTCATCTCCACCGGTGCCCCTTTCCAAGTCCACTGATAGGGAGGGACCTCCTCCCCATTCATCCGATCCTGTTTTATCAGGTATCTTCAGGACTGGCTGCAAAGCCCTCCTCTGTGGCCTAACAGGACTGCTCCTCCTTTCTTAGCACTATGAAGCTTAAGATTCCTGCTAAATTTGCTGAAATTTAGTTAAAGGATTTGGAATCTCAAATGGAGTTAAAATTAACTTGGACTTTGTTTTTTAAGGCTTTACCCTCCCTCTTTTAAATAAATAATACTAATACGGGGAAAGAAAAAAATGACTCGCTATTTTCTTGCCTTGAATAATTTTTACTTTTGATTATAGAGAAAATGTTTTGCAGGTTCATGCTTCTTAAAGCAACCCTTTAACATCAAAGGTTGTCATCAAGCCACAGAGTGGCAAGCCCACTAAAGTTATTTTATTTTTACAGTTAAAGTTCTTAATATCTACCCATCTCTCTATCTCTCTCTCTATCATCTGTCTGTCTATCTATCTATCTATCTATCTATCTATCTATCTATCTATCTATATCATATCTATAGGAATGTGGTAGGTTTATGATTATATGTGATTTCCAATGTCATTGGCAAATATTATAAATGAGGCAAGCATTGGGACAGAGGATGTTCATCCATTTGTCAGTCCTGGCAATGGAAAATTATCCTTACAGCTTCAGTTCAAAGCTGTCTCTATTTTTAATCTAGTTTTTTCATATTGTTTACCTTGTATTTTAGAAGAGCCTTTTGATGCTTTCTATTCAAAGATCACTTTCATCTAGAAATTTTGTCTTCTGTGTCCTGATTAGTCATCTAGCCATTGCTTTAAAAGCCTCCCCTGGGGTTCTCGTATTTTAGATTGCTTTGACTATTAAAAAGTGTTTGTGCTTTTGAATTAAATCCTGATATGTTTGGCCCTGAAAATGCACTGTTTCTGCTCTGTGCCCAACAGGAAGTGTACTCTTCTCTTGACTTGCTACCCTTAACATGTCAAAACTTAGCCATCCTGGTCCTTCAGCATCTTTCCCATTCTGGATAAAGGCTTCTGAAACCCATAAAGTATGAGTTCGTTTCAGAAAGAATGCACATCACTGTCCAGTGCCTAGGCTATCCCTGGGAGAGCCTGTGCTGCCTCGCTAACACATTATGGAAGTGGCTCCTTTCTGAGCTCCAAATCTCAATTACACACTGGGTTTTACACTCTCAGATCACATTTTAACTGGCCTACATCCATGTGTATGTCCTTGCGACTCTGAATTCCTGCCATGTACCCATTTTGTGTTTTAAAAGAAAATTAGGATTATTTTTAACTCTTTTTTTTTACGTGTGTGGGTACTTTCATATGTATATCAGTACACCATAGACTACTTACATGCAGTCTTGTATGCAGACAGTGGTCTGGTCTTGGAGGTAGTAGGCAGGCTGGAAATTGAACTCAGGCTAAGTCTGAGACAAGCATGCAGCCATTCTTTGCTCATGACACCATAACATGGATCCTGTAAATCGCTTCACTATCCACACTCCTTGTGTGAGCCCTGTCCCTGTCTCTCTTCCTTGACTGCTTGTGCTCCTGTTGATGTCTCTAGATGCGTTTAAAGAGTTTTGTTTTTATATACATTTTGCAAAGTCTCTGTTCCAAAGTGGGATGAAAACACTGTCGCTGTCCTACAGTTCTAAGTTTTAGGCAATAAGGACTTACTGATTGTTGATTTACTGTTTTATGTGGTGACTGGCTGTCTGATTGGCTGTGGTACTTGAGGTTGCCTTGGGTTGTGGGAAACAAAAGGCTGGGTAGGAAGCTTTCTATCGTGCCTTCTGCTCAAACTCATTACCTCAGTGCTCACCTGCCAATAATGGCTAAATGTCCAGCCAGTAATAAGGAGGTAAATGTTTGTTTGCTTTTCCTGTGACAGGGTTTTACTATAATTTAGACTGACTTACCTTCACTCTGTAGCCCAGGCTGGCCTAGAACTTGAGGTGCTCTCGTGTCAGCATCCCGAGTACCATGATTCTAGCTGTAAACCTGTGCCAGGTTTTCGGTTCATTCCGGTTAGCTTACATTAGGTAAAGAAGAGACTTTTGCTTTAAAGGTCAATTTTACTGTATAGTTTTGAGGGCTGCAATTTGATGTTATATGGGATCTGCAGGATTACAATGTAGCTACTACAATTATGCAAGATAACATGTCCATCATCTCACATCTTATATTTTTGAGTGACAAGAATGGCTAAAATGAACTTAGTTGACACAATTCCAATAAAATGCAACTGTATGATTAGTTCTGGTGTTGGACACCAGCTCCTTGAACTCTTTGGCTTCCTGTCCTTTGAACTCTGCTTCCTATTTCCCTACCCAGTTCCTTGGCCCCAGGTGGTAGGCCATGTTTAGCTTTGTACCTCTGAAAGTTTTACCCACATCTTATTCTGACCTGGGGGATATTGTGCTAAGTCAAATAAGGCAGACACAGAAAGAAAAGAATCACTTGGTCGCACTTACATGCACAACCTAAAAAAAGAAGAGGATTGTGAATGCCTTAGGAAGTTCAGTTTATAAATACAGCATCCAATGTTCCTTCTTTGTTTTCTTCGGGGGAGGGGGTCTTTCTAGAAAATATGAAAGGAAAGTCTCCAATCCGATGACCCAGACTCGAGGGTCTTAATTTCTTCTGCCAAAACTTTTACTAAAGTTTATGTAATAGGATACATTTCTAAAAACTACTTAAGTATTTTTCTAAACAGAGTTTTCCTCAGTAAATAAAAACAGCAGGTTGTGTGTGTGTGTGTGTGTGTGTGTGTGTGTGTGTGTGTGTACAGGTTATTATCTGATAGATGACCTTATTGTTTATTGGAACCAGGTTAATGGTACTAACCGTGTGGTGGGCTGCTTTGCTAAGGACACACATGTGTTGCCGGCTTGCATGCATTTCTCTTGTGGTTTACTAAAGACGGAAACGTATGCTTGAATAATGTGTTCCCATGCTGAGAGACTTAATTACTTTCCATGATGAGTTCCAGCTGAAAAGAAAATGTTTCATGAATTAGCGGCAGATTGAATTCATATCGTCAGCTGATCTACTCTGCAAGCCTATCATGAGACACTTGTCAGCCACACACTTTGTCATACTTCCATACACTCTGTAAGATTCGACTACAGTACTTGCTTCCCCTAGTGGTGGTGGTCATTTAGACCAGGAAGGCTCAGCAAACACCATGATGGCTTCCAGGTATGATGGTGCCTTCCTGTAAGCTCAGCACTTGGCAGTGAGGCAGGAGGATCACAGGTTCAAGGCTAGCCTGGGCTGTGTAGTAAAAACACGTTTTTAAAAAGTCAAAAGGTGTATTTACGTGTAATCTTCAGAAATCCTACCAGTGTACTTCAAATCATTTCTAGATTACTGTTAATAATAACCTGATCACAGGATAATAGATTTCTATACAACATTGTACATAGAATGATGATGAGAGTAAAAAACATGATGAATACCTCTATACCTCTGTACACTCAAACTTTTCAAATACCTGAAGATTGGAAAGCCAGCTGTGGTTTGGAAGGCTGCCCCTTGGGGATAATAATTAATGGCATATTCCCACACATTACAAAACCATACATCTCAAGCTAAAAATAAGCTGAGTGAAGCAGAAACTTCTGATCCTTTGGTTTGGTTTGGTTTTTAGAATATTTCTACCTAGGGTCTCCACTAAGCTACTAGGGGTGGCGAGAAAGATCTGAGAACTTGAGCATGTGTCTGGCCTTAGTCCAGATGGTGAAGACTCCATATGATAAAGTGCACATGCAGTAGAAGCTGGTTTCCCCTGGCCTCCCGTTTCCTCTTTATAAAAGTGTGGCTGTGTAATACAACATGCATTCACTCTGGGCTCCTGTTCTTTCTCTTTGACAACACTGAGCGCAGTTGATTACTTGTGGTTCAGTAACTGTTAGCAGCTTCATCACTTAATAGAACCGGGCCGACTTTATACACAGTCTTCTTTTGTTTAGATTGTGTGTGGTGTCCCTTACAAACACTGTGGGTGTACTTATTTTCTTCCCTATGTCTGGGTTAGCAAACACTTCCTCACTGTATCAATGTGCTTATGTATTAAGGTCTACCCTGTGAAGCTACTGTTGCTTTCTCCACACTGAACTCTCTTCTCTGACAATATTTTGCATCTATATACTGTATCAAATAGCAAACACTTAATAGGATTGTATTTTAGATAGTCTTTAATGGTAATGTACTGCTTAAATTAGAAGCATTTGGAGAAGGAATGAATTTTTGTATCATTTCTCTGTTTTTGTTTTTGTTTTTGAAATGATCATCAGTATACAACATTGTATCTGTGGATAGTTAAGCCTCTTCAGATGTTGTGACTTTAGTAATTCTCTCAGCTCCAGGTGCTTTGATAGCTGTCATCTGTACCACAAAGCCTAGGCTTGTGATCGACAGATAGATATCGCATGAGCCAGTTTTTGAAGTGGTGTTTTAGATAAAGAAAAGTTGCGGCACTTCTATAAAAAAAAAAAAGGAGGAAATTCACAATTACGTTTTTTTCTTCCTGCTTGCTTATCTCTCCATCTGCACGTTTTATCCTTACCATCTCTTCTTGTGAAATGCGCAGGATGATGCTCGCCAACTCTTTGTGCTTGCTGGGGCTGCAGAAGAAGGTTTTATGACTGCAGAGCTTGCTGGTGTCATAAAGAGATTATGGAAAGACAGTGGCGTGCAAGCCTGCTTCAACAGATCCCGGGAGTACCAGCTGAACGATTCTGCTGCATAGTAAGTTGCCAGAGCTTCAGAACCCAACGATCATGAATGATCACGTGCTGGTCTATCTCGTGTTACCTGTGCTGGAGAATGGCCTGGCACATTCTTATACAGCTCGGGTTTTCTGAGTGGCTATGTTTGAGTGCTTTCTCTGCCTTTGTATGTTTGTGACAGCAATTTTGGTATGTTGGAAGTGTTACAGAGTAGGATTGTCTCCAAGAAAGTCACTGAAACTTCCAAAAATTCACACTTCATTTGTCAGGGCACTTATCTGGCTTTTACATACTTCCTGTACCTTCTTATGCTAAGTTCCTGTACCTTAGAAAGGGTGGTATAAATGACTTGTTTAGGTTTGAGCCCTCAACCACCATCTTAGACATCCAGGAGGCTCAGCATTCACCACCATTTACTGTGAAGAGACTTGTCTGATTAAGGCTGAGAGTAGCTATTGTCTGTGAGTATAAACGTACATATTAAGAAAGGAGCTTGATATTACATCAATTTACTAACTACATGGGGGCTTTACAGATTCCTTAGACAAAGATTTTTAACAGTATTTCCAACTGTGGAACAGATCTCAAGTCAAATCAGATGGCAGTTGGCTACGCCTATAATAGTGGTGCCCCTACTGAATGGTGGGAACATATTGCCTGGCAACTTAGGTTTTTGATTCATAGGGTTTATAGGAACAGTGATGTCTTTTCTCTCCCAGCAGCATGCATAGCACCTTCTGGAACTTGAATCCTAGCCATCAGGGAGGAAACTGTCATGGCTTGCTTTTTCTGTATCTTAAGCTGAAGTATGTGGTACCTTTAACATCAGGGTCTTATTCTCTCATTGTGATGGACCATTAAGGCCACTGACAAGAGCCTGTATTGTTCTGGGGGGACTCTGGGGCCTCCCTGATCAGTGCTTGCAGAGCTATTGAATTAGAGAACAGAAAAGCTTGGACTTCCCAGTGTGAAACAGAAGGCTAGCAGGAAACAACATTGATTCAGCCTTTGCTGAGCTTTCTTGCTGCTGCAATCACAATTAAGACCCCTGAAATCTTCAACCCAGGGTGGGGTAGGGGAGAGAGGAGGTGAGGGGAGTGCAGAACCAAGCACGGTACAAAAAGTGTGAGGAAGAATTTTTAAAAAAACAAGCTCATGGTAGTATTTATTAGTTTAGACATATTAAGCACTTCTCCTTTGAATTGCTATGCCTGAAAAGCAAAGCTTAACACATTTAAGAAGGCACAAAAAGATTTTCAAGTAATCATATGAAATGTAACTTTAAAGTGGTTGTTTTGTGTGCTTATAAGGACCCTTGAAACTTTCAGAATATTACATAATTAAAATATGTTGTAGTTTTGTTTTACATAAACTTTCTTGGCCCTAGTTCCTATCAACATTGTGTTTTCTTGTTTGTTTTCAGTTATTTGAATGACTTGGACAGAATAGCACAACCAAATTACATCCCAACTCAGCAAGATGTTCTCAGAACCAGGGTGAAAACGACAGGAATTGTGGAAACCCATTTTACTTTCAAGGATCTTCATTTTAAGTGAGTAACTTCCAAATGCATGCTTTATAAAAAGCGTGGTTGATGAAAGCAGATGCATGGACTCACAGCCAAACTTTGGGCAGAGTTCAGGGAGTCTTGTGAAAGAAGCAGTGAATAGAAGAACCCAGAGGAGACAGGTACTGCACCAGGAGACCAACAAAGCCAAAAAGTAGGGGCCCAAAGGTTCCTGCGTAGACTGATGCACCAACCAAGAACCATGCAGGGAGAGGACCTAGAACCCCTACTCAGATATAGCCAAAAATCAACTTAGTCTCCATGTGGGTCCCCAAGTAAGGGAAGCAGGGGCTGTCTCCATCATGAACTCAGTTGCCTGCTGTTTAATCACTCACCCCTAGTGATGCAGTCTTGCCAGGCCACAGAGGAAGAGGATCCAGGCAGTCCTGATGAGACTTGATAAACTGTGGACTTTCAGTGGACTGGGGGAAGAGGATAGGGGAAGGGTGGGACTGGGAGGAGTTGAGGGAGGGGCCTGCAATCAGGATATAAAATGAATAAATTGTAAAAAATTTAAAAAGTAGGTAAATAAACACACTTGATACAAATAACAAAAAAGATGGGTTGCTTTGGAAGCAAAAGGCAAAATTCATCAAAGTTTAAAGTGTTTTTATTGTTGGGAAAATCTTTTTCAGAAGATTAGACAAAATAATTTTATGGAAACAAGCAGCAACATTTTCAGAGGGATATGTTAATTTTAATTTAAGACAAAATAACCAAGCAGGGCCATGGTGATGCCCACCTTTAATCCCAGCACTCAGGTGTCAGAGGATCTCTGAGTTAGAGGCCTGCCTGGTCTACATGAGTTCCAGGACAACCAGGACTATACAGAGAAACCAAAACCAAAACCCACACAACCTACCAACCAACCAAAAAATTAAAAAACAAAACAAACAAACAAACAAAAACCCGACAAATGCCCTTTACCTGTTACTTTTACAATGATTGAACCATGCATGATAAGAATCTGGGTGGTTTAGCTAAACAGAACATATATAGTCCTGTATCTGATGAAACAGTCACCTTCTGTCTTTAGGTAAAACAGCGACCTTTGTTTTTAGAATATATGCTCACTTACAAAAATGTGTTTAAAGAAAGGTGCCTTTGAATATTTTCATGAAAAATTTCATCAAGCAAAGTGATATTTGCAGTCTGGTGATGTTTGCTTCAGGTGTGTCAGATGTGAGCCTGCTGGGTGTGAAAAGCAGTGCAGAATGGAGCCTTTAGGATTAGAAGGTTTGGAGGATGTTCCCTCCAAGTCCTCACTTGACTGAGCCAGTTTCAGGGAAAGGCAATAAATTGTCATTCACAGAACCGCATTTCTCTCCTTCTAATAAATAATGCTTTTCAAAGAGAGAGAGAGAGAGAGAGAGAGAGACAAGGATTGAATCACAGCCAAATCCAAGTTTTGATTGGCCACATCACCCAGCCCTAAAGCCTCCTTGACAGGTGCTTTCATCCAGGTTTCCCTTATGGATCACCTGCTGCTGCTGCTGCTGCTGCTGTTGCTGCTGCTGCTGCTGCTGCTGCTGCTGCTGCTGCTGCTGGACTATTAATGTTTATTTTTTATTCCCCATTTCTCTGTTCTCATTGTTCCACTGGCTGAGCCAACAGCTTACCAGTCAGTACTGTGGCACACATGCTGTGGGCTCATCTTTTGTCCACCTTACTCTCACTTAAGTAATGATGGTAGAATCAAGGAAAAGGAGGTTAGGCATTTCATATAAAGTTGTCACCTGAAGGACAAGAAGTTGACCCCAGAATGTTTTACTGAAACAAAATGCCCACGTTTTCATAGGAATCCAAGATCACTGTGCTGTTTCCTGATGTTTAAATATAGATATATATATTAATCATGATTATTACTCTTCTTTCCTTCATATTATGTTTCTCTGGTTTGAAGCGCTGTGCAGGAACTGAACAAAATTTCATTTCATTTGCAATAGCACATTCCCTAAGTGTCAGGTTTGGGTCCAAAAGAAAGGGCCCTGTTTTAAAGCCCTCTATCACACGAATCTGGAAGTAGATTACTCAGACTGTATTAAACACCATGCTCTGTAGACCATATAACTATCAGCTAATTAATAACCCCAGAGAAAGAGTGTGTGGGTTTGTATCATATTCTTCATGCTTCAGTGGAGTTGGCGGGGGGGTTCCTTCTGTTGTTTTCGTAAACCAGGGCTAGTAAGATCGGTGTAGGGAGCACTGCCAGCATTGGCTAGGGAGTACTACCGCTGTATTGGTGTGAAAGGTCCAGTCAGGTGCACTGTGCGGCTTCAAAACGTTTCAGATCCTTTGACTCTGAATAGAACCCTAGATTAGAAAAGAATTTTATGATAATGCCTCTTTTCTTATGAAAGCTGTCCTGATATCCATACCCCATGTTTTGCTAAGATTGCATTTTTTTTAAGCTCTTTGAGAGATTAGGTAAATCATTGCTTAATCTACTCGAGACACATTTTTCCCTTTCATGTTATCTTCAGGGCTTATGTTTGGTTTGTAGAAACTCAAGCAATATGTGACTGAAATATATTTCCTTGGCTTCTCTTCCATATCATCACCACAGTATCTGAAAAGTTGAAGGAAAAAAAAGGAATGAAAGGCAAAAGTAGCAGCAACTTCTCACCCATCTGCTCAAAGATACATGTCTACGTAGGCTTGAAATGGACTAGTTCATGCTGTCACTGAAATCATTTTATCATTTTTTGGTTCGGTCGGTTTTTGTTTTGTTTTTTGCTTGTAAAATGCTTGGCTTAAGACAGTCATTCAAAAGAAAGCTTTTCTATGAATCATAGCTTCCACTGTGCTCCAGGTGGCTGTGAGCCCCTGAAGTGATAAGGATCATGAGACAGGATTTCTAAGAGAAATTTAACCAGAGAGATTCATTCATAGTCAGAGACTTGTTTAAAAACAAACAAACAAATCAGCATCAGTTTACTTCCTGATGAAGGCTCCGTACTCCAAGCTGCAAGCACAGTTATATATCTACCACTCAATCTCAGCTTGCTATCGTGTCTGTGTGTGTGTATGTGCTTTAAGTCCAACATGCCATCCAGTGTCACTGTCACGGATTCATCAGTGATTCCCAGATTTAAGCTTTCCAAAGGACATGAGTTCAATTCTACTCTTACCTCAGAAAAGCAGCTATTTCCCTGCTGTCTTAAGTGAAGATGTAGACTGTTTATCTGCAATACTAATTTTACATAGTAGATGTGGTTTTGAATTCATTTTTATTATGTTTACTTCCATTTCTTCTTTTGGTACCTCATGGTTTGTCTAATTTTTTTCTTTTTACTGTGTCTCTCTGCCATGTAGCCTGGTTGTTATACTCGTAGGTTATTAAGTAACCGTATGTAATATCTGGTCTGGAGACATTCATTTGTTGCTCCATTTGTTTTGATACCATGCGATGATGTTTAATTGTAAAGACATTTATTACTTGGATATTTAAAATGTATTTACCTAACTCCAAGACAGTTTAGAGTCTGATTTAAAAAAAAAAAATGTTTTCTACCTAGGTCTTTTGTTGTTGTTGTTGTTTTTGTTTTGTTTTGTTTTACTTTTTTGTTTGTTTTGCTTTGTTTTAGAGACAGGGTCTCATCCAGCCCTGGCTGGACAGAACTCACTAAGTAGACCAGGCTAGCCTCATTCATAGAGATCCACCTGCCTGTCCCTTTAGGAGTACTAAGTTTAAAGGTGTGTGCTACTACACCGCAGTGGTTTGACTAATTTTAGTGACCATGGACTAAAGAATACTTAAATTGTTGTGTTTTGGTAAGGAAATGACTGATTCTGAGCCAGAGTAGTCTAAGGAGAAACTGAAATGCATTTTGGTTAGAACAGAAGGGTTTTAGATATAGATTTTTTTCCCCCATTAAGTTGCTGAGTAAACTCCATTAAGATGCTTAATTATTAGACTACTGCCCTTGGTCAGAAGTTTAAAAATAAATAAGTCTTTTTTTTTTTTTAATTCTTAAAAAGTTGTGTAAAGATAAACCTCCATCAGTGTGACAGGTGACAATGGCAAGGGTTAGTGTATTATTTGGGTCTTGAGGCAGTCTGGCCATAAAAATTACTTTAAACTTAGTTCGGTACTCACACGTTTGCTACCAGGGCATTTCCTGGCTTTTTCAAAGTTGTCATTTCAACATCAAACAGCCACTGATGTCAGTTGTCACCACGATCATCCCAGGGAGCCTTTCTTACTTTACTCCATGTGTGAAGTCTTTGAATGAGGTAAAATATCACAGGATGTGCCTACTTACAGTTTTAATTTGATGACTGAGAGATAAACACAGGTTAGTCTACAACTTTAGGTAAAGGTTCTTCTGGGTTTGAGTTTGCTAAGTGAAAATGACTGCTTATTTATATTTCTGTCCTTGCTTTTTCAGTGTTAAATGGTCTGCAAATGGATGAGGGCAGAAATGTACTGAGAACCCTTTATTGTGCTAAACACTTAGCAGAGCTTTGTATATTTCATGTTGTGATTCTTTGTCAAGTATTAGTTGCTTAGTGAAATCTCTATTTCACATTTTTTTTGTATGAATGGATTAACAAATAGAAAATGAGCTATGAGGTAATTTATTTCAATTTTAGGATCTATCTGTATGAATAGGCCTTTATGGTTAGTGTCTTTGTCTAATTAAAGAGTGATCAGCTCTAGTTAGTGATTTCCAGATAAAGATTTAATTTTACAAAATCTTTCTGTTATGAAGTTGGCACAGCTTAAGAAAAACATCCATTCCTTTTTTATAATATAAATGTATAATAGACTTTGGGGCTCACAGTTCTCTTAATGAGCTTGGTATCCATATACAGTTAGCTAATTTGCACGAGTTAGGCTTGGCCACATTTGTGCTAGATGACTTCAAAGGCTAACTTACTATATTTCTGGAAAGCCAACATCCTCTTGGAGTTCCAAAAATACCTAAGAAATTCAGACTGATTCTCTAGTTGATACAAGCTAACAGCCTTTTTGTTTAAAGGAGAACAGACTATGTGAGGATTTTTTTTTTCTTGTTTAAATAGACACTCAGAATTTGAGAAACACTGTATTAAAGAATTACAAGATTTCTGAAGAAATAGTTATGACATTTCTCAATGCTCTGTGATTTATATGCCTTATGGAACATGAAAACAGTAGTATAAACTAGTTCTTCTGGTTATTATCTCCATTTAGAGGTTTAAATACTTACAAACTTTGAACACTATCTGGTCTCAGCTGTTGTTGCTCAACAGTTTGTAGGTTCTTTCTCAAATGACAGTCCCAGACCAGTGACTTCAGCATCTTTTGGTTGTTGTTTCTGACTCCTACTACTAGAGAATCGCTGGCCCAGACTAAATATCCCAGGTTATGAGAATATATGATAGACCATCAATCCTTTATATAAGTTCAATAGATGGGAAAAGTTTTTTCATTACTCAAAGAACCAGCTGTCACATTATAATGAAATCTCTTTAGCTTTAACATTCCCCTAATCTAGAAGGCAATTTTAAATCTTAAACACAATAAAGTCTGTCTATAATTTCTTGAAAGTATTGAAAAATATTTAGTAGGTATAACTTATTTATTTAGCAGGACTTATTTAGGAAGTTCTTTGTATAACAAATGTTGGGGACATAAACAAGCAAAGGGAGACAAAAGTATTTGGTTTTAAATTCTTCAAGAGGAAAGGCAGATAAAAAGGAAATACTTAACTTTCAGGACAAGGTAATATGACAAAAAGTAGACCTTATGGGCAAACTATATTCATTTCACAAGTCTATTTTCCCTTCCTAGGGCTGTCATAACAAATTGGCAAAACCTGGGTTCATGAATAAGAAAACTTTGACCATGTTCCTGTTCTGGAGGTTAGAACTGAACTCAGTATTGTCAGGTTCCTGCTCAAAGCTCTGGGGAAGAATATTCCTGACCTGCTTTTAGTGTCTGGTAGCTGCTGGAAATTTACAGCCCACCCTGGCTTATACCTGTGCCATCTCTATTGTCACGTGTCCTTCTTTTCTTGTATGTGGGAGAAAGACTCCCTTTGAACTTAGAATTCATTCCTTGGTTTACTTTTCTGCTGTTGTGTTCCTATAGGCAGACAAGTTCATTGCTTATAGACTCTAAAGGTAGACAAGCAGGTCAGCCATTTCTGCCAGCGTGCTACAGCAGCACCTCCCCTTCCATTTCCTTTGAGAACTCAAAAGTGTCTCTAACCAGTTCAGTATTCATATTCTGTTCATCACAGTATATGTATTCTCGAAGACCGTAGAAACTCTGGGGTTTTCACTTTTCACCTGAATTTGAAATAGAATGAACTTTGCTTTCTCTATTTTTGTTTTCCTCTTCTGTGAAGTGTTTTAGGAGACTTCAAGGTGCTGCTCTAGTTCTGGTCCTGCAGGCCTCTTTGTTGACTGGGGGCGCCTGCCGACACCGTTGAAGACAGTTCTTCACTACTTAAAGTCAGGCAGCTCGAGACACCAACTACATCACTACTACAGAAGCACAAATAAGTGATTGAATGACTGAGTTGGCAAACCAGCAGAGAGAAAGTGGGGGATGGGATGGCTTGGGCTGTTACAGCGAGTGGATGAGGGATGCATGCTGTGTGAGAGAAGCTAGCCAAGGTTATGGTAGATTGTTTATAAATTGCATTCCTAGGCAATGTAAGAATTGTTGACCTCTGTTCTAGTATGTTGTATCTTACCCACTCTGCTTGCTGCTCTCTTTTGAGCCTATCCACTCTGATTTATGCTGTAGTAGGGTCATTTTGTCCCAGCATACTTTAAAGAAGAGCTTCTAGCTAAAGGAAAATGACAGAGGTAGCAGTACTAGTGGACGAGTTGAGATTTGGTTTGTAGGCCACTACTGCTCTGTAGGGAGTTAAATAGGAAAGGTTTTAATTAGTGCACCATCAAAGATAAATGGGGCCTTTAAAAATGTGCCAGTTTACAGAGTGTTTCCATTATATAAGTGGATATTTCTAGGCTGTATAATGCAGTCTATGCAAATTTAAACTTTTGCTTAACTTTATAAACTCTTGCCAGGAACAAGAAGAAAAAGGTCATTGGCATTATGTTGTTTGATTGTGTCAGGATCTTGTTCACTAACCTCCAATTGTCCATGATTGTATATTACATAACAACTGAGGAATTTTATTCTAAATTTCAACATTCTCCCTCCCTTTCATCATATTCTATAAGCTGCACAAACCTCTTGGCCCCGTTCTGAAATTACTTCATTTCACAACCTAGAATTGTTTCTCCTTTCCATCAACACCTTGCTTTTTGCTTTGACAGAACTCATTTCTCAGTTGGAATAGGGAGCCCTGATCTCTGGCTCTAATGCTCAGGCCTGGCGAGTTGAGTGTGCTCACTTTGATTTCTGGCTTCCTTTGTTGCTTCATGTCGATTGTCAGTGTTGACAAGCAGTAAGATCTTTAGTTGCTCTGATGTCCTAAGTGCTTTCATATGTTTGTTAATGGATGTCTGTGCTTTAAATTTTTCTCTTTAGTTTATTATTGTGAATTGTGTGTGTGTGTGTGTGTGTGTGTGTGTGTGTGTGTACAAACTCACACATGCACACATGCTACAGAATGTGTGTGGAAGGCACCCAGGCTTTGAACACAGGCTGCTAGCATTCTCTGGGTCACCTCAAGGACCCATTCATGTTGTTTCTTGAGAATATTTTTGATCTTGCTTTCTAGTTACTCTGGCTACAATCAAATACTTAATAAAAAAAAAAATTTAAAAAATTTCCCCCCTTTGAGAAAACAAATCGGTAACATTTTTTTCTTCCCACTATGTCCTTTTCTCCTTTCTTCCCATCCCACACTTCCCAAGTTATGTGGGGCATTTTTGTTGGCATTACAGAACTCGGAGCTTTTGAAGATTTATTGTGGTATCAAGTCATAAATTTTCCTCTTACAGAATGTTCGATGTGGGCGGTCAGAGGTCAGAACGGAAGAAGTGGATTCACTGCTTTGAAGGAGTGACCGCCATCATCTTCTGTGTGGCCCTGAGTGACTATGACCTGGTTTTAGCTGAAGATGAAGAAATGGCAAGTAGAAGCACTTCTTGGGGTGCAGCATGAAATGCCAAGTGCGGCAGATGATGCCAAGAACTTTTCTGAGAAACCTTGTGAAGTCCTTGCTTACGAAGGAAGTATTTGGAAGTTTAGGCTCTTTGCTTCAGCCTCTGCTACAGCATAAAGGGCACAGACGCTGAGAAGGCCCAGGGTGCCTTTCCTCCACCCAGCTACCTGAGGATTTCCTGCACCTGCTGCAAGGCTCATATCTCCGCACTAGTTACTCTGATAGCCTGTGGTTTTTGATATATGCTATACTTCTCCATTTATTGAAAGACAGTTTCCAAATAACATTCAATAGATTGATCTTGGGAAATATTTTTTTAATAGAAATTTAAAACTCTGGCATATAAATACAAATGAAAATCTAGGGTCAGCTCAGGTTTTTCTAAATCAAGTTCACAGGAGGGGAAATCAAGGCCAGGAGGGGAAATCAAGGCCAGGAGGGGAAATGTTGCACGGTATATACATTCATTTCATCTCTGCACTGTAGAATAAGCTAGTGTCGTTTCTGAACAGAGCCTGACGGGGTAGAAAACAAGAGCTGGAAATCATTTTCTCTCATATCCACAGTGTTGAACTAATCGGATTTCCGCTCACTCAGTTTAATACATTAGTCTTCAAGCTTCCACCTGTCTCTTAAGGGAAGCTTAGGTGATCTGTGCAACACTGACATTTCTTTGATGTGTTCAGATGTGGACATCCCTCGATTGTAACATCCCTCAGCAGGAGGCTCTCAGGCATAAGTCGTTACATGACAAGCTCTGAGCCAGTGATGACTGAATAGTGTTGAAACACTCTGCTTGCTTAAAATCTGTATTGTGCTTGTCCAGAAAGGTAAAAAATGTATTATTCTGGAATTATTACCAGCTCTAGATCAGGAAGCTGACTAGATAGAAGCCTCAATGCACTCAACTTGGCCACCCATCACCTCAGCAGCGTAATTAGAAGGTGGCTGGCCAGGAAGAAGTAGGGAGGAATTCACTTAGTACATCCTTACTTGGAGAACAGGGTCTCAGAATTCCCAACTGTTGTTGGATAGTGAGAAGAGCTGCTTCATTCTATATGGGAGAGAAAAAGCAGGAAGCAGGGGCTACTCGTCATCCCACTGTCCCGGTAAAACTGTGGTCTGTTCATTGTCACAGGCCAGGCTGTGTAGGGTCTCCCACTGGCTTCTAGAAAATTGTTGTTGCTTGTGGGAGAGGGAACGGATTCATTTTCTCTTAGGAGATAATTGCTTTCACTCAGGGCCAGCCTCCCTTCCATCACAGGGACTAAACCTGTGAGGCTTTTGTTGCTTGCTTTTGAAATAATCTGAAGTGACTCAGACAGAACGGGTCAGAGACAAAATTGGAGTTGAGATAACAAGTGGGATGTCCTTCAGAGTGCTACATGGTTTTCAGCCGAAAGGACCTGGCCTGTTGCAACATTTGTTCTTTTTAAAACCGTTCCTCAAAAACTTAACTGTTCATGAAAATGATTTTACTTTCTATTACAGAATCGGATGCATGAAAGCATGAAATTGTTCGACAGTATATGTAACAACAAATGGTTTACGGATACATCTATTATACTTTTTCTAAACAAGAAGGACCTCTTTGAAGAAAAAATCAAAAAGAGTCCTCTCACGATATGCTATCCAGAATATGCAGGTATTTGACTTTCTTGGAATAACTTAGCAAATCAGATGTCTAAGTGAAATTTCTTCTAAGGCAAGATTTTCAGTAGTTCCTTTGAATTTATTCGCTTACTAATTCTTGCCCTGGAAAGCATATTTTTCAAACTGCACTTGAGCACAAATAGTCCTTTAAGGTGTGGATTAGTTTTCTGTAAATCCCTTGTTTGTTTTCTGGAAAAGCTTTTAGGTAATTTCCATGTCTTTATGAATTTAAAAACTGACTGGTTCATACCATGGCCAGATCTTGTTTATTGGACAAACAAGATAGATAAAATCTCTCTCTGCTCACTAGCTTATCTCAGACATACGCATGCTAATAAGCACACGATAAACAGTAGCAGACATCTTGCTTCTGTAAGAAGACAAAGTGTAGAGAAACCAGTGAGGCAGGTGGCTCCTCCACGGGGCAAGAAAGTTTCATAGGAAACCCAGGTCCTGAGAATGATCCTCTCTATGGTGCTGTAGTTTTGCTGCTATGGATAGTGTACCTTTATTGAGCAAAGACCCAGCTCTGACAAAATTAGGTCTGTGATCTTGAACAAAGCAGATACTTCATCTAAGTTCATTGCCTCATCTGTAAAATTAGGAACTGGGCTAAAACATTGGTTTTAACTTGGTTTAGTTCCTTGGATCCCATTCCAAGCTGTTATTGAAAATGAGTCTCGTGTTTAAACGTGTGAGCCTCAGACTTGGGGACGGTGAGCAAGAAAGTCAGTATGTTAAGGTGTCCTGGGCTATATAGTAAGTCCAAAGACAGACCAGGATATGTGAGAACCTGTTCCCAAACACTCACACACACATACGTATCCTGTCGCTTCAAAAGATAAGACTGCCACTGGTTTGTATGAACTCTAAATCTAAGTTTTAAATATTCTTAACATTTACCTCAGTATGTTTAAAAGAAAAAAAAATGATTCTCAAGAACTTCTTCAAGTCTAACTAAAATTTGAGTCAATGCTTCACTGAGCAGGTTGATGGTGGGTATTGCCTGAATTTGCCTCAGAGCCGATGTTGGGATGGCCCTGATGTTGGTTTTTGGGTAGCCTTGTTTCAGGCACCTGAGTACAAGAGTTTAATGCATACACAGAGCCCACCTTGAGACCCCAGTACATCGCAAATCTGCACCCACACCTGCACCAAACAAGCTTCGTTTAATTACAGTCTCACCAGAAGCAGAAAGAAAGTGTTCTTTGGAAAACACAAGGCCATTACATAATTATTTGATATCCCAAGTGCTAAGATTATAATTTCAAATATGCACTACTCGTTATAAGAATTGGTCCAGTTGCTTCTTGTCTCAAAAGAATCCCTTTTTATGACACAAAAGAGATTTAATAGATTGTGTTCTCTTATACTTTAATATATTTTCTAACACTATCAGCTCTGGGTTCTTACAATTATGACCTTTTATGGATGAAGTCTGTGCAGCCCCCGAGCCAATTGCGTATGTCCAACTTCTGTCTGCTGACTCGTAAAGCACAAACTCCCTTTTCATTGTGAGTTGCCATTTCACCAGGGTCATCGGCAGTCCCCTGATCTTTTTGCAAACCATTGTTTCATAACCATATTAATTCTGTGTTCAATTGTGTTATTCACCCAAATTACTCTTCACAGCCCCTTGTTTCTATTTTCAACTGCTTCTTAGATATAGTTTTTAGTGCTGAAGCATAAACAAAGTTAACATTTTCTTTCTCTTTGATGTCTCATAGTTTCCACTCTTCTAGTTTTCATATATTCATTTAGGAAACTTCACATGGCAGAAAATACCTATTCCTTCAGCATGAATGTGTACACACAAAACCACACACACACACACACAGACACACACTTACTTTGCTCTTATTCAGACTAAAAGTCAGATCAAAGAATGTGTTCAGCACTCTCTTCATGTATTTCATAGCCCTTGGGGTACATTTAATTAGCTACCCAGAATGTGTGTTGTGTATGAGCTATGTACTCAGTGTAAATTACTTTACACAAGCACATTTGTAATTAATTTAGAATTATATTATAATTGTTTCCTTAACCCAACAAGACATTTTTTTTCATTTCATACAAATTTTAGAGCATCAAATGATTTAATAAAAGTTGATTTTCAAAGTTTATTATTATATGAAACAATTAAAATATAAACTTATTCAGAGGCTGTGGTTTTATTATTTATGTTGTCCTAGCACACTAAACACCTCTTCTCTCTGGGCCCTGTCATGTGGCATTCATTGCACGGTGGTTTTATGCATGGTATGATAAAAGTGGATGGGGTTTGCAGGATAGAGTTACTGCATTTCTGTTCCAGGGTACCTAATGCTAAAAAAGAATTAAGACCCAGTAAAACATATAAGAAAAACTGAAGTAGTGTTTGTATTGTCTGTAGGAGCTTTTAAGGAACATAGCACCCACCTGGATTTGATTAGTTAAGGAATGTTCTGTAGAGCACCACTTTGATTAGATGTGGGGAGACTTAAACATACTTGATGGTCTAGGACAGCAGAGAGGCAGTGCTGCAGAGCAGAGGGGCACTTTCTATACTGAATATTCATGGTAAACACTGAGGCTCCGACTGGGAACAGTGCTCCTCACCACAGCATCTTTGGGAACAGAGAATCCTGAAAGGCTGACCAGTCATTTTGGGTTATAACAAAAGAGGGATTTAATAGATTGTGTTCTCTTATGTCTTAACGTTTTTCCTAACACTAGTAACCATATAGTAACACTATATGGTTAGCTTTAGTGTACAGCACTTTTAGAAAACCACAAACAATTCAAATGCAGAGTTGTGGGGCCTTGTCCCAATTGAGCCATCTATAAAACAGCTCCTGAACCTAAGACTCAAGGAAGGACGTGGAAGTAATCATACTATAATCTCAAAAATAAAAGAAATACTTTTCGGACCCTAACTAAAATGTTCAATCCCCATCCTGAAAGGCAAAGAGGATGGACATCAGAAGAAAAAGAAAATAGGAAACAACCTCGGAACCTGCTACAGAGGGCCTCTGATTTAATGTGTCTGGTTTTATGTTGAGGTCTTTGATCCACTTGGACTTCAGTTTTGTGCAGGGTGATAAGTATGGATCTATCTGCATTTTCTACATGTAGACATCCAATTAGACCAGCACCATTTGTTGAAGGTACTACCTTTTTTCCATTGTGTGGTTTTGGCATCTTTGTCAAAGATCAGGTGTCCATAAGTGTGTGGGTTTATTTCTGGGTCTTCTGTTCGGTTCCATTGATCCACCATTCTGTTTCTATGCCAGTACCATGCGTTTTTATAACTGTTGCTCTATAGTACAGCTTGAGATCGGGGATGGAGATACTTCCAGAAGATCTTTTATTGTAGAGGATTGTTTTAGCAATTCTCGGTTTCTTGTTATTCCATATGAAGTTGAGAATTTTTCTTTCCAGGTCTGTAAAGAATTGTGTTGGCAATTTGATGGGAATTGCATTAAATCTGTAGATTGCTTTTGGTAAGATGGCCAGTTTTAGTATGTTAATCCTGCCAAGCCATAAGCATGGGAGATCTTTCCATCTTCTCATATCTTCTTGAATTCTTTCTTCAGAGACTTGAATTTTTTTTCATACAAGTCTTTGACTTGCTTGGTTAGGGTTACACCAAGGTACTTTATGTCATTTGTGGCTATTGTGAAGGGTGTTGTTTCCCTAATTTCTTTCTCAGCCCTTTTGTCTTTTGTATGCAGGAGGGCTACTGATTTTTTTGAGTTAATTTTGTATCCGGCCACTTTGCTGAAGGTGTTTATCAGCTGTAGGAGTTCCCTGGTAGAGTTTTTGGGGTCACTCATGTATACTATCATATCATCTGCAAATAGTGATAATTTGACTTCTTCCTTTCCCATCTGCATCCCCTTGATCTCCTTCAACTGTCTTATTGCTCTAGCAAGGACTTCCAGAACTATGTTGAAGAGATAGGGAGAGAGTGGGCAGCCTTGTCTTGTCCCAAAGAAATAATTTTTAAAAAGAGAAGGGAGGAGAGGTGAACGCGCAAAATAAAAAGTACAGTCGAGAAACTGCACTTTTCCCAGATCCCCAAAAGCCCTCTGACCCCTTTCAGTCTCAATTCAGCTTCTTCTCTTCTTGCCCTGAAAAAGTCATCATTAGAGTGGCTTTTTCCTTTTCCATTGTTTTGCAAGCAACAGTTGTGTCACAGAGAGGACGTACGTGTCTGTGTCTAGCTCCCTTCGTCCAGCACAGTACTCAGTGTCCTTACTTCTGAATGGCAGCTGACAATGTGGATCTCTCAGCTTTCTTTCGCATGTTCGTAACAGCGCATGAACTTTCTGAATACTTCTTGAAGTTGATGCTCATGCTCTGCTAGCATTCTTTGTGACCCTTCTTTGACCATAACATATAGTTCTACCAAACCAACACCTAAGACCTGGGTCTCTGGGTCAAAGTATGGTTGTGCTTATTTTCAGATTCTGCCAACCCACTAAACAGAGTCAGTCTCCAGCACCTCCTGTAAAAGCAGGAGGATTATATAATTATCTCTCTCTCTCTCTCTCTCTCTTTTTTTTTTTTGCTTTTTGCTAACTTCATAGCGTTTAACCGTATTACAGACTTTGTATAAGATGTGAATAAAAAAATCATCACAAAAGGACAATTAATGAGTAAATATGAACGGGGAGGGGGAAGCATTCAGCCAGCATTATTGACTCACCTGTGGGTTAGCACAAAAATGGTAAGCCGACATTAGGGTTGGGTGTCTTGAATTCTCCAGCTTGGGGACGTAGATGATAGAGGGGGATAGATAAATCTGACTCTTTGAGACTTAATCAGAAAGAGAGGAAAAATAGACTAGCATGCCAAAGAGTTTTTATGTTTCAAGATGGCTTCTAAAGATTAGTTTACATAGGGTATTTTTCCTTCGGAAGAAAAAAATCATTTTGTTCTAGAAGAGAGTGTATGGTTATGAAGTCTCTTTATTTTCGATGCAGAAAACTGACCTGTGTTTTAAAATGCATTTCTCTTAACCCTATACAAGTTTAACTTCTTGTATATGTCTTTCCATGTTTCCATCTCAGGATCAAACACATACGAAGAGGCAGCCGCGTATATTCAGTGTCAATTTGAAGACCTCAATAAAAGAAAGGACACAAAGGAGATCTACACCCACTTCACGTGTGCCACAGACACAAAGAATGTGCAGTTCGTGTTTGATGCTGTCACAGACGTCATCATAAAAAATAATCTAAAAGATTGTGGTCTCTTCTAAGTTTTGCAGTTGGTAGTAAAAAAAAAAATGCATTTTCAAACCAAATGAGTACTTATATATGGATCTCTCTAGACTAGAGTCTCCCAGCAACACAGAATGTAGTCTACAGCAAATGCATCCTGGACCTGACCAAAGCTGTTCTGTCCTCTGTTTTTACCTGAACGTAATAGAAGGACCTTTCTCAAAGGTGAAAGATGGTCCTGTAATGTGAAAGTGAAGTGTAATGTTGAAGCTGGGCTCTAGTGTACTGGTGATTTCTGTGTACGTGTAAATATGCAAACGTAAGATGTATTTATAACTTTTGATTTCCCACATTATGTTTAGGTTGTAAGAGTGGCAACTTATGATTCCAGTGTGATGGCTTTAGAAATAACATAAATATTAAGTACCTTGAACTGAATGACAGAGTAGTTCTTTGCCAGTTTTAAAGAGCTTTGTTTATGTTCATGTCCTATAAATTTTAGGTACCATAATTAATATTAGGAGACATCACGGCCCTTACCTTGAGTTTATGTATACTTGTATTCATAAAATATTATTTGTACAAACATTGCACAGACTATTTTAATAACATGATTTGTTCCCTAAAATTTATGTGTTTCATGGGGATGTTCCTGCAGAGGTTGGGCACACCTGCCTTTGGATCAATTATTTAAGCATTGTGTGCATTAAAATTTTCTTTACAGAGTGCATGATGTTCCAAGTCTACACTAGATTTGTTTTAAGAAACTAAAATTCCAGTTTTTGAGGACATGGGATCTTAGACTTAAAAACACTTCACTTTTATTCCATTACTTCATTTCAATTTGAATCTTAGTATCTGGATGGCATTTCTGTTTTACCTTCAGGTGATGCCAGCTTAATTTTATATACTTAAATAACCACAGTTTTATTTATAATGAAGTTTAGGTGAATGATGAAAGCATTTTTGTGGATAAAATTTTTTTAGTATGTGAATTTTGAGGCATTCACTTATGTATTTTCTTTGAGAAATCCCTTGTATTTAAGCATACATAAGAGTTCCTTGTTTGTTAAATGACCGGAAAAATACTCTATTGCTGATATTGTCCAAGCTTTTGATTCATATGTAACTAGTTTCAAGTTCAATCCCTTAAGTCAAAAATTACTTCTTTTCCCTTAGATATCCAAATTCCTTCCACTTGCTTGAATTCCTATTTCTTTTAAAGGTGTACTATGATTTCTGACATTAAGTGGTTATACTTAGAAATTGAATAATAGCATTTAACAAGACCAGTGAGTGGACACGTGCTTAAATAGGTGTTACACAACAGCTACATCCTGAACTATGTTAGTTATGGCCATTTTTCTTTTAATCATTTACTGTGTGTCTTTGTGTCCTTGTTCCAGCAAAATGAATAGCATTCCCCAGCACCTTGCCCATTTTGACTCATCCCATAAAGTTAAGTCTTTCCATAGCTTTGCCTGTGAGTAGTTTCTCACTTGAGTTAGATATTACCATTTCCTTAGAGTCTCCTTCTTCAAGTTTGTGCATATGTAAGTGTATGGAGAATTGTAAACTACATTCACATTTATTTTGGGGGGAATTTGTTTTCTTCTTTGTAATGTAAAAAAAGTCAAAGTTAACAAAATTCCTTAAGTGTTAGTTTAGATTATTTTATGTGCCTTTCATGAAAGATAGATACATTTCCATTCATTTTACCAATGGAAGACCTGTCAGACCCACATTGTGAAGCTATGTATGAAATTCAACTATAATCTGAATAAATTCGAATGGTGGAAAATAGGGTTTAAAAGCCACAAAGAAGCACATATTGGTGAATTCCTGAACTCTTCTCTGTGTAACTGTGCTACTAATTCATCCCAATAAATTTAAATTTTTAAAATTTTACAAACCTGTTGACTGTACTCATTTTGCATTAGAATGTAGGTGTCAGTGTGTGCGAGCTCCCTACTTGGTTTCCATAGCTCTGTCCTTTTTGCTTTATCTCTCCAAGAAGCTTGAGTTTGTCCTGCCTAAGTGTTTTTGTCCAGTATGATGCAAAAATGGAAATTGCCCCTATGTCAGCTCACTGTGCCCAAAGAGTGTTGGAAAAGTGGGATCCTTACTTAAGTCATGAGGGTGTGTGCTTTAGAAGAGGCTCGTGTTGGTCTGCTCCTTGTTTTCTAATGCTTGACTGAAGATGTGAGTAGATTGATTTTGCCAGGTGCTTCCAGCATGATGGCTTACCACAGAGTTAAAACAGTGGGTTGGGTTGATCAGACTGGAATCCCTAAATCCATGTCAAGATAAGCCTTTTTTTTTTCCTTTTGTAAATTAGTTAATCTCAGATGTGTTTTTATAGTGACAGAGGTCTGCATAGCATACATACTAAGTACCGCCTTTATCCAGAGACATACAATCCAGGGGCCACATGTGGTTCAAGACATCTGAGAACATGGTCCAACACAAAGCCATTAACTAACTTAAAACCTAACGAGTGTATGTGGTGGTAGTGGTGGGGAGAGTGAGTAGAGATGGACATTCAGTTGAAACTGGCACCTGGAACTCTGCATATCCTGTCTCCATCTCTAGATGGAAAGTTCTTCATTGAATCACCTCTAGTTTACAGTTTTGGATGGGGGTGGTGTTTTTGTTTGTTTCCTGTTTTCAGGTCTTTGTTGAGCTTTCCCTTAAAACGGCTTGTTGATGAAATTCAGTCAACCACTTATAATCTAGATTGGCATGCTTAATATATAATTGGGACTATAATGCCCTCTGTTTTAATGTACACTGGCTCTGACTTGTCAAAAAAATTGACTATTATTTAAAGCTTCCCAGTCAAAGCCTCTCAGCCCATTTCAGAACTTCTGAATCCTCTTTTATACTGCATGCAATTAGTGCACTGTGCTTGGCCCAGATTTTCTGTGAGTGTCATGTGGATAGGCTTTAAAACCCTGCTTAGGTGTGTCCTCAGAAAGATTGGAATCCGTCTACCTTAAGATCCAGTTATACCTGTCTTCGGTATATACCCAAAGGACACTTCATCCTACCGCAAGGACTTCTTAAACCATGTTCACTGCTGATCTATTTGTAATGGCTAGAAATTGGGAAAAACCTAGATGTCCCTCAAAAGAAGAATGGATGAAGAGAGTGTGGTACATTTACACAATGGAGTATATTATTCGGATTTTTTTTTTTTTTATAAAATGACATCATGAAAATTTCAGGCAAGTGGGTAGAAGAAAAAATCATCCTGTGTAAGGTAACCCAGACCCAGAAAGACAAATAGTAATTATCTGCTTATATCTGGATATTAGTCATTAAGTAAATAATAACCAAATTACAATCTGTAGACCCAGAGAAGCTAGGCATAGAAGAAAGGACTGGGGGGGGGTGAGCGCATGGCTCTTCTGGGGAGACAGAACCCCAGTTGGCCATCTCTTGTCACCAAACAAAACTTCCAGTTCAAGGATTGAGTTTTTGGCAAAAAAATTCTTACGGAAATCCCCAAACAACCCAGAAGAAAATAGGTTGCTCTCCACAAACTGACAGCAGGACCCCATTGCTGGGAACAACACACAGACAACATTGAATATGGAGAAGTCAAGCTGGTGCCTATATAAAGCCTTCACCCTACATTCTAGTGTCTTTGGTATGGGAAGTTACTCTGCAGGCTGTCAGATGGGAAGTATAAACACCAACCACAAAATCTATGGCATAAAATCTGCTGTCCTGCCTACATAATATGCTAGTGTTATAGTGGCACAGACCTTGTGGGATTAACCAACCAATGTATGGTTTGACTTAAAGCCCACTCCATGAGAAGGTACCCATGCCTGATGCAGTATCTAAGAACCAGAGACAAGCTAGCCCAGAGACCTAGTGTAAAACTAAGTAATACTGATCTTAAAGAAAAAGTATCAATAAAGTCACTCCTAATGATATCCTGCTATATTCATAGATCAGTAGTTTATTCAGTCATCATGAGAGAAGCTTCCTGCAGCAGATGGTAAAGGATGCAGAGACCCACAGCCAGACATTACAGAGACAGAGTCCTTGAAATGCACAGCACTAAATGGTATGTCTCTGTCAAATTCCTCCCCATCAGTGCTCAGGGAATGCTGTGGAAGAGGGGGTGGAGAGAGTGTAAGAGCCAGAGGGGAAGAAGAAGGACACCGGGAGAATAAGACACTCTGAATCAACTGAGCAAGGCTCATATGAGCTCACAGAGACTGAAGCAGAAAGCACAGAGCCTACATGGGTCTACAGTAAGTTATAGCTTTCAGCTTAGTATTTTATGAGACTCCCGAGTGTGTGAATGAGTAGGTCTCAGATTCTTGTGCCTGCTCTTGAGGCTCTTTTCCTTTTGTTGGGATGCCTTGCCCAGCCTCAATGTAATGGTTCTTGTTTTGTCTTATTAAATATTATTTTGTCATATTTGATTGTTATCCCTTAGAAGCCTGTTCTTTTCTAATGATACAGAGAGGGAGTGAATCTGGAGGGGAGGTAGTTGGTGAGCAACTGGCATGAGTAGAGTGAGGGGAAACTGTAATCAGGATATATTGTATGAGAAAATCGATTTTCAGTAAAGGAAAAATTATACAAAAAAACATTTTTTTAAAAATTGCCTACTACATGGGACATATTCATTCCATCTATCATTTCATGCCTTTTATTTGTGATACTTTATATTCTAGGATTTGTTCTTTAGCCTGTTCTTTGAGGAATTGTGTGGTTTTGGAAGGCTGCCATTCCAATCACATTTCTTACTTTCTTGATTGTAAGCTTAAGCCTGCCAATACAATTACACATCCTTGAGCAGGGGACCCAGACTAGCCGACATACAGTCTCAGTTTCCATTCATAGAGCCAATAAGGATTTTGTGATTCAATAGTAGCCTTCATTTCAGTACATCTCTGAAAAACTATGCCTGTACTTCATCTGATTCAAACATATCCAACCTTTTTGAGAAAAGATAAATGTGTGTGTTCCTATTGAATGCTACCAACCAGTTGAGGTAATGGCTCTGATAAGTAAATTTTACATGACCAAATCAAGATTTCAAGTAGAGGACGACATGTCTCTGGGGGGGGGGGGGGGAGGAGGAGGCTAAAGAATCATCTTCTTTTCAGAAAAGATATTCTGAGAGTTTTTCACTTCTTTTCACTCATGGCTTCTCTGAACCCTGACACTTTTTTATGTCACAAAACATACAATCTATGTTATGTCTATGTTGTATACAGCCATGAGGGTAGTGCAGGGCATAGTAGTTATGTATTTTTACATAATATTTTTGTCTGCAGAACTACCCACTACTCTTAGTATCTTTAATGCACTTATTTAATAAGGTGACAGGTGTTGTGACTATTGATGCTGTGATTTGCTTAGCATGCTATTTTACAGAAGTCTGGGTTCACAGTCGACTCTCTTATCAATTAGTGGCTCTAACACATTTTTATCATTTTAGGAAATAAATGCTAAATAAACGATTCCTCTTAATGACTGTTGTCAATCTAAAGCTTATGGGAATTTTAACCATTTAGAAGAATACAGCATGTGGGAAGCCCTTAATAAATTTTGCTGTTATTTGGCTACAAAGAATGTTTTATTTTAGAGTTTGTTTGTTTACTTTGTGTGTGTGTGTGTGTGTGTGTGTGTGTGTATCTGTGTGTGTGCATGTGTATCTGTGTGTGTGTGTGTGTGTGTGTGTGTGTGTGTGTGTGTGTGGTGTGTATCTCCACAGAGGTAGGAAATATATCAGATCCCTTGGAGCTGGGCTGTTTGGGGTTTCTCAATGTGTATGCTGTGAACCCAACTACACTCTTAACTGAGCTGAGCTACTTCTCCAAACCCCATCTTAGGGTAAATGTAAATCATAATAAGTGCCTGACAAATATTTATTAATGAATGTTTTGTATGAAATACCTCAAAAACTAATTACATAATTCATCTTTAGGTTAAAATATTCCTAGTGTCTTATGTTGTTACTGGTACTAGAAAACTCAAATGAGAGAAAAAAAATGCCTATGTCCTAGGACACCTGTTACTTTTAATAATGTAGTGAAAACTATTGTGATTGCTTAGTATGTTATTTTACAGAAGTCTGGGTTCACAGTCGACTCTCTTATTAATTAGTTGTTCTAACATATTTTTATCATTTTAGGAAATAAATGCTAAAGAAATGATTCTTTGCAATTGTAAAGTTAGCTTGGGAAAATTTCTTCGAGTTGTTTTTCATAACCCTGCCTTTAGAGTTAAAATGATGCATTTAAATCCAACTTTGTATTTCACAATCCCTCTGGCCTGTTTCCCAGGCATTTTTTCTTCCTTTATTGCTTTGGTGTTTATAGGGATTTTTTTTTATTTACTTCTATTTTCTTAGTTACATTAAAAGTTATGAAACACATATCATCAAGTCTAGAGACACCCAAGTTGCAGACAGATATTGGCTGAGTTACCCAGACCAGAGCTGGGGAAGCGTCACTGTGACAGCCTTGCTATGTATGCAATCCGAAGTACCATGGAAATAGTCAAGCAGTTCCAGATTTTGTGATTTTTCTTGCCAATGTTGTATAATGGAGACATGCTATCGTTGTAAAGGGAGAGTTCTTATAATAAACTTAAAAAGGATTAAAAAAATCAGATATATTGAAGAAAACCTGCACAGAACACCAACCTGAGCAGGTACTGGTTAGCCAGCATTGGTTAATGAAGGTGCCCTTCCTACTTGAATGCTATAATGCACAGTCTCTTTAAGGAAGTACGTAGAATGTGACCCTCAGAACATAGTGGCTAAAGAAATTTCTTCTCCCTCTGCAGTGTCTAAAGTGTGCTGTGCTTTGAATGTGTCCATATGCTCATATTTTGACCACTTAAATCCAAATTTCATATGTTGTGGTATGTGGAGGTTAG